CCCTCTACTTCTCAAAGTAAAAAAGGGGTCCGGAAAACCCCTCTCCCCATTTTCCCACCTCCCTTTTTACCCTCCTGCTCTGTCCCTAGTTCTTCCCCTCTCACTGGCTCAGTTACAAGTGCAGGGGTTCACCCTCCCCTGAAATGTACCCCCCCCGCCCTCCCAATTTTTCTTCCTTTCTGCCCCCCCCGGTTTGCCTTTTTTCCCCCTCCCACGCTTCTCCAGTTCCCCCCCCTTTCGCCCCCCCCTCCCTTGGGTACGTCCAATCGTTCCAATTTTTCTCATCCCCCCCCTACCACCCCAATTTGTCTCCCATCGACATCTCTGAATTTCCCAAACACTTGAACAATTTTGAAAATATTGCAGAGACCAAAAACCCTCAATGAAAACCCGATCCACCTTCCGTCTTTCTCTCTCCTTGCTCCCTTGCGCAACTCCTTTCTTCCGCGCACCGTTCCTTTGCGCTTGAAACATTTTCCACTGCCCCGCATGTGGACTTTTCTAACCCCTTTTAGTCCCTAGGGAAACCCTTACTGCGGATTTCAAATTTTTATATTGCCAATCATGGCCTATTTTCAGTGGAATATACCGGGCCCCAGGGGGGAATCGGGGTGGCTTAGATTTACTTCCCAGTTTGCCCCTGTTGGTGTTTGTTACAGGAACCAAAATTACACTCTGCTGTTATTTCTCACATTCGCTTAATTATTGATTCTTCAGACCTTTTCCCGATGGGGCCTTTTAAAGAAAGTGCCCTTCTTCCCGCATGATATTTTGTACATACTATTTTTCTATTCGTGCATTTCACAGCACCGTATCCCCTTACATAGGTGGTATACCTTGTTCTTTATATCTCTCCTTCTCGGGCATTATCTATTCCCGGGTTTTTCCCTTCCTTGTTTCGTCATTACCGCCACCGTTTGTTACTTGGGTTTTTAAAGCCCACATTTTTTCTGGGGGGGTTCACTGTGATTCCGTGGAATTCAGTTAGAGGCTTTTTTTTTGCCCCCCCACCCCCTCCATGTTTTAAATACAGGTACCACACCCATTTGATCCCCGGACTTTAACTCTCTCTTGCATCGATCCTAGTTTGCTCTTCCTCCGCCGCATTGATTCACTTGGTCGTTTCCCGGACTTACATGACAGTGATCATTTCCCAATCATTTTTACTTCCCCTTCATATTCGCCACCTTTCGCCCCCCCACGCTGGCAATTTAAACGGGGAATTTTGGGAAACCCTTTTTCCACCAACTGTTTTTTAAAAGGGGTTTCCCTTTTTCGTCCCCCATCGATAGCTTTTTCACCTCTTTTCTCCTCGTTTTTACCGCAGCTTCTCATTCTATACCCCAAACTTGGGAGGGATTCTCGAAATGCGTGCCTTTGGGGTCTCCCGCTTGTGCTGTGCAACGTTTTAAACGCCTGCATGGGGGAGGTACCGGGACAATAGAACCCAGAGCGACTCCTTGATTTTAAACGAAGCGTGCGATCGCTCGCCGTGTATCCGGACGCTAAACGCACTGTGGCGAGATTATGTCTCCACCATCAACTCTCTTCCTCTATGAGTGCAGTGTGGGAAAAAAAAACGAAAAAAATGAGTGAAAAAAATTTTTCCTGACCCGGCTCCTTTTCGGGGTTGCGGTGTTGATATAGCAAACCCACTAGATGTTGCCAATGAAATTGGCAACATCGGGGTTATTTTCAGGGGGCTCCATCTATGCCCTCATTTTTTCCTCAAAGTCTGCCAGAGAGTTTGCACCCTTTGGGCTTTTCTTCTTCAGAGAAACAGATTGTGCCTTTTTTATCAAGAACTGGAGGCAACACTCTCGCTTGTCGATCATCGGCGTGGGGGCCCCACGACTTCAAATTGTATGCTACAACATTTTCATCAGTCAGCCCTTGCAGTCCCATTACGCCTTTTCAATTTTTTTTGGTCACAAAGGAGTTCTTCCACACTGTGGAAAAACCCCCATTTTCCCCTTTCCGCAAACCGGGATACGGGCATTTAAAACCTCCCATATTTTCCCATTGCCTTACCAAGGGAGTTTGCAAAGTAATGAACGCCTAGAAATAGAAATTTGTGTGGTATTTAGAGACACACAACAGTCTTCCACTCGTCAATATGGTTTCGTAAGGGAGTTCTACCGTAGACCCCTTACTACGCTTGGGTACGTTGTTGTAATGCCTTTGCGAAAAACCACTCAGTTTTTTTGCCATATTTTTTTACCCTTTAGAAGGCATATGACACAATTGGAGGTAAATATTTTAGCCCAAGCCCCCTCCTTGGCCTTCGGGCAATCTACCATCCTTCCTTAAAAATTTTTAATGAAGGCATTTCCGTTTTTGGGTTTTAATAATGTGCTCTCCCCGGCTTTATCCAAACTGAAGGTTTCCCCCCGGGTGTGGTGAGCACAACACTTTTCTCCTTGCTATTAATGATTTGGGGCCCCTATCTTCCACAAAAATTTGGCTCACTCTTGTATATTGCTATTGCCTGTGCGGGCTGATGTCCCCCTCCTTTTCAGTTTTCTCCAACATGCAGCGACCGTGTTTCCAATTGGGCCCCCACATGGGTTTAAATTTTTCCCGCACTAAAACCCACCAAAAACACTTTCATAGAGCCTGTCTCTCCCATCATCCTTTTACCTCTATGGCCCCCTATCCTGAACGTGATACAGTCAAGTTTCGGGGCCCCCTTTTTTATGTAGGTTATCCTGGAAACCTACATTTCCTCTTGAAAGGCCTTGTCACAGCCCCTGAACCCTTTTTAAAACCCTTTCTCATCTTTTGGGGGGCTGATCGTCGAACCCTCCTTGCCCACATTCCACATTTTTTTATCGAAACTTGTTATGGTGACCAGATCTTTCAGCGGCATCTCCTGTACTTTTCTAGCCTTAAACCCCCATCATCCCCAAGGTTACGTTTATCCCTGGTGCTTTCTGCTCTTCCCCTGTGAGAGCCTCATGCAAAGCGAAGTTCCCCCCTTTCCCGATCGCGTGAGCCATTTCCCTGCGTTATGTACGCTTCATGATCCCCGAAATCCTTCCATTTATAGAATGGTCATGTTTTAGTAGACATTCTTTTTTGTTCCCCGCCCTGTTTACTTCCCTTTTCTTCCCCTTCATTGCTTTTGTCTTCTCTTCAACTACCACCTTTCATGTACGTAGCATCTCACTTTTCCCTCCCCCTGGGGAAATTCCGGGTTAAATTGTTTTTCTCCCTCCCTTGCTCGAAAGCCCCCCTGTTACGGTCGCTTCCGCTCTCTTTTTTTGACACTTTCACTTATTCTCATGCCATTTTGTGTAAAGATGGCTCTGTCTTTGACGGGTAGGATTGCGCAGTGGGGTTTTCCGGACAGGTGTACAGGGCATTTTTCTTCGGCCCAGATTTTACTGTGAAATTTTTTGCCATCCTTACAGCCTTATCCGTATTAATCTATGCCGTGTCATCTTTGTGGGGGTCTCAGCTCCCTTAGTGCTTTTTCAGGCTATACAAAAAATTTTTTACACCCCCACCCTTGTCTCCGTATCCAAATTTGGCTTCGCCCCATCTTTCCCCGCTAAAGATATTGTTTTTTGTTGGGTCCCGGTATGTTGACGTACAGGGGAATGAACAGGGGCACTGCTGCGCGGTCAGCGTACATGACCCACCCGTTTCTTATGGGGTTTTCCCTTTAGGTTTTTTTGTGAATACTTCCCCCCTTCACACCGTTGGCAAAAAGTTGGTCTACTATGTCGGCAACTAATTCAGTCTATTAAACGGTATAGGTTACGGCCCTCTTCTTATCCCAGTGTTTGAGGTTGGGGGACTACTCTCTCCCTCTTCGCATTGGCCTACTCGTTTCTCTTTGGTTTCCTTGGAGAGGCGTCTTTTCCTTCTGTGGAATTGCCAAGCTCCATTATAGTCAGCCCCATTTGTTGGACTGCCCACTTTACAACGGCACGCAGAATTTACCTCTGTCGTCGTTTCGCTCCGTGCTCTTTTTACCCTTCCCCCTTTTGCTGATGGATCCACCTTTTTCGGGGTCTCTTTTACAACTGACGACTTCACAAAATCTGATGCCTTGAGCCCTTTCTCCTCATCTTACCCCCCCTATCCCTGCCGCGTTTTCTGAACCTACTGATCATCCCTTCCCCCCTTTACCGCCCCCCAATACCCTCGCTTCCTTCCCCACCCTGCGCGCTGTATGCCCCGTGGCTTAGAGCTTCATTTAATTTAAAAATTTCTATACAGGGGGTCTTTTTTGTCAGGCTTTGTGGGTAGAGTGTTAGGCCTGCTGCCACACTTCACATGATTCTCATTGTCACATGGCTGCCATGGTGGAGGAAAAAGGGGTTTACTTTTGTCTTCATCCCCTATTTTTTTTGTCCAGTGTTCCCTTTGGTTTTGGGGCTATACATCTTTGATTATGGATAAAAGTCTTTAACATCTGAAACTATAGCTCAAATCATATTATTATTATTATAATCAAGGGGAAAGCTCTAAAACCGGAGGATTATTCAGCGCCTGGGGGGGGGGGATGTGGAAGGCATTCAGGCTTAATTTGGGGAACTGGAGCACAGATCCAATTCCCTAAATCAAGAGCCCCTCACCAACATCAAGGAACCTTCCTTGAGGGGACTCAAATCATAGGGCTTCACAAACCTGGGCACCAGACAAAAGAAATAGTGGAGAATGTTAGTGCGTGTGAGCGTTCAGTAAGGAACTGGGTGCAGCATTTCAAGGCTGGTGGTGGTGTCGAGTTACCATCTGCCAGACCTCGGCCTTGCCCCTCGAGGAAGACATCTGTTTGTACCTTGACTGTGTTAAAGAAGCAGTTACTCTCTAAATGCTTCTTTAACACTTAAGGTACAAACAGATGTCTTCTTACAGAGTGGTGCTATGGGTCATTTTTCCATGTGGTATGTGAGTGAGTTGGGCATGTGCAATTTATATTATTTAGTCAAAAGTATTTTTATAAATACAGTATTGTCTACCAAAATTTTGATGTATATTACTTCCAACAGGTGGATATAATTTCTGGTACCAAAAAGCCACTTGAAGAGGAAGCCAAAAAGCGAAAATCAAGGTTTGATCAGGGAGGCCCATCCAATAATGTTATCAAGCCCATGATTGTTCCTCCAACCCTCACATCTGTACCAACAGGAACTAAAGCCACCATAGATGCTTTTGGTAGCCTTAAGAAAACAAAATAAAATAAATACCAACTTTCATTTGATATGTATTTAGGATTTTGTGATGAATAGTTTATTACAAAATAATGAAGACCTTGCAGATTTTTTTATTACATGTTCAGTCTTTTTCTAATACATAGTGAATAAAGATAATTACAACCACTGTCCTCTTGACTTGTTCCTTACTTATGTAGTTGTAATTAACTGTTTGAATCATCTAATTCTAGTTCTTATTTGAAAGCAGTGGTGGTCTCATGATAAACAAATCACAAGTTTGTTTGTTTATTTATGACAAAAGTCATAACTTGCTTTCAGTAAACGCTATACAATGAGGGATATAGGACCATATCTGGCAATAATACATAATGTAAAAATATAAAATTATTTACATATCTACAAATATGAATTTGAAAGAATAAACTTTCAGTATACTTACAAAAGCTCTATAAAACAAAAATAAATGCTGAGTGAATTAACGTTTACTTCTGGTTGTTAGCTACCCCCACAGCTTAAAAGCCACAATAAATTTCTTCAGTGAAAACCAATGAAATCGTAAAAAAAAAAATCGGGAGATTCCACTTGCAGTATCTAAAAAAAATTTAACACTTTTTAAACCATCACTTTCTCCATACTGATATAACTCTCATTATTGTACATATTTATGAAGTGTTAAATTAATAAATATAATTTATTATTAAAGTATATTCTACTACTATTAATCCCTAAGTGATGTCAATACTTATACATACTAAGAGCCAAGAGTTAAATATTTCTTATTGTTACGGAACCTAGTCGGAGCATTGTACATAGTAATATATTTCTGTTCATGTGAAAAACTTTCTTTGTCTAAGAGATCTTATTTACCTCAAAATCATTGCAACTTCCTTAACATTCACAATCTTAAAAAAACATGAAGAGGAGGAGAACTTCAGCAAGCCTGCTGGCACATGCTAGTCAGGTCCAACTCACACAACATTTTGACAAAACCACATAATCATTGGCAGCAATTAGACATTTCCTAAGAATTATAATTGAAAATTTTATGCTGTATTTAAGGTTCACTACAAATTTAATCTGTGGAGAAAGTTTACACAACTTCATACAAGATATTACTTTTAAGCATATGCTTCATCAAGAAGCTCCCTAATTTACCATCATGTTTACTTAAAATATGTGCGAGGATAGTACTGTGATATTTACTTGGTTAACTTGCAGTTATGAGAGATTAAACTGTTTAGAGCTCTGAACTACATGTTAAAACAATAAAATAGTAAAATCAAGAAAAGTCACACCTAGAGATCTTGGATCAGCAGTGCTTCAAGAAAGTCAAGATTTGGATCTGAAGCTGTACACACACTTCACCACACATTAGGTCTCCTACACATGACATTAATGTATTCCTTAAAACTGTAAGTAGTGTGTTCGAAACTCAGAATTTATATTTCCACAGATGCCTACTTTAGAATCGGAGATGTATTCCCAAGGCATAATATTCCTTATTTAATTTAATTTATTTTAAAACTAAAAATATTTACTCAATATTTTACATACTATTCCTTTTCACTCATAAATATTAATTATTGTTTAATATGCCTGTTAAATAGAATAGAGATACAATACATTACAGTCCAGTACAAAGGTGTAGGAGTAAACAACAGTTGTGCTGTCTCCATCTTTCTTATTCTCCCCATTCTATTCATTCCCACCTCTTGCATCAATATACAGTCATTACTCTTGCAATGTTATGGTAAAGGTATCGGGTAAAGCAGTGACTAGGGGGTGTCCCAAAGTACCAGTATCAGTGGTATCAGTTAATTTTGATGGTATTAGTATTAGTGGGTAATTAATTAATTTTGATGGTATTATAAAACAGAGTATTGGTATCAACAAAAACTTGGTATCGTCCCATCCCTGTTGGTGATAACTGTGCAAGATGTGGGATGAGCTCCCACTGTCCTGAGGGGCAGGCAGGAGCTATACTGTCTCAGACAGGAGGGAATGGAATACAGGGAAGGAAATAAGGCACTCCCACTACTGTCTTAATCCTCACAATAACATAATGTGGCCAGCAGGGAGGCAGTGTAAGTGGAAATGCTGCTTAACCCTCTGGCCTCACTGGACCATTTACAAAGTCACATTGTGTGCCTTTGTAAGTGGTCCAAGTCGGACTGAAATGTCGTCATGAGCTCCTCTCTCCCATGTGCGGGTTATTTGTGTATTGTTCCAGTCATGGTATTGTGCCTTTTTGTTCTTCTCAATAACCAATAAAATCATAATTATTAAATATTCACTTCTTGACCAATATTTAAATATTAGCTCTCCACACATACATCCAATGCACATACATAAAATATTGCTGCATATGATGAGAAAATAAGAGAAAAATAAATACAATGTAGCAAACAAACTCGTTATCATTAAATCTTGGTTCCTCACTGTTATTTACCAAACATGAACTCTCCACACATGAATAAAAATAACTTATGGGACATAAAAACACTGTGTTGGGGAACTACTGTACAGTTTGATATGGGAGCAACCGTCACATTTTTTTCTGATAAATTAATGACTTAATATTACAAACCAGTATTTAATTTCCAACAGTGGTAACTGCTTGACTATTTTACACATACTGATACATATTGGTATGACCACTATACTGATGGCATAAATTGCCCTGCACTGTGCACTGGTGCCTCAAAGAAACACTAGTCACAGCATGCTCTCTGTCTTGGCAAAATAAATTTTGTTTAAGTACACTAATTTAACTATACCTCCTTGCCAAATAATTATAGCATTTGTGTTGTTATTCCAAATGATTTTTGTACTGTTTTTCTTTCAGATGCTGAATAAATAATGCTTGGCACAACCTAACCAAGAGGTTTCATAATGTGCTCTGTCAATTTCCTTAGTTACTGTACCAACAGGACTGGTTAATTACTGTAAAATAATTATATTTTAAGACATCCCAGTTTTACTTAACAAAATTCTACCAGATAAAAATAATTATCTTATATAATCTGATACTTCCTTCTGCAATTCATTAACATACCACTAATGTACAGTACTGTACAAAAAATACAACTTAAAAAACACTTAACAGCTTTCCTGGTTTAATGTGCATCCTGTGACTAACCAAAGATGTAACATAATTCTAATGCATTATAACTCACATTAAATGTCGAGCATGAAATAATGCACAGCACTTAGAATTTGCAGGACACAATATTGAGAGATTCTTTAACAATATAGGAAACTTATAACCATAGTAGGCTTAGGACATAAAATTTTTGGATACTATCATATTTTAACAAGATGAATTTGGTTATTGCTAAAAAATTATAAATACTGTACTGTAATTCTACCTAAATTGAGGACGTCTTTTTTTTTTTTTTCCATCCAAGGATGGGGAATAATGCCTTAATTTATATATACTGATGTTAACTGTGGCAGCAGATACATTACACTTAAGGAGACCTAAGATTATCTTGGGGTGACTACAGTATATGGTCAACACTGTTAAGATTACTACATCTGGCAGTTACTAAGATTAGAGTTATAGCTGTCATACTCTGGATGCTGAGCCAAGTTTCTTCATTTTATACATCAAGTCAAATGGCAAAAATGAACACTTCACATATACTATACAACCTATGACAGAGTCACTCTAGTGTTTACATGCTGCATAATGGTAATATCATAGTCATCAAAGACTGCAAAAATCTGCAATATCTGAAAGGATCACTGGGAGTTACAGTATTTGCACTTAAAAGCCACAACAACTGTGTAGTGTAGTAAAATTTGCCTGCAAATTCTGCTGGTATTCAGACATTGTACTTTTAAGACTTTTTACTTTTACTTTTTAGATTTTGCATTCTCAGAATAAACATATATTTTTTAAAACACTAAATATTTAAATTAAACAAAATTATACTGCAAAACCAATTTTCTAATTAATGAACAATCACATCACTAAAACTAACCTTGATTTTTCTATGCACTAGGTTGCAGATCTCCCAAGTATCCATTTCGTGTGAGGTGATGAAAAGATAACATACATTAATGTAAACATGATAAATAAGGTCAAGAATAAAAATAAGAAGAGACTAAAAAAATCAGCTGACTGCTCTAAGAATAAGACAACACTGATGGGAAAACAGAGAAATGGGAAGATGAACAGTATGACATAGAAAGGTTTAGATAAGGGTAACCGTACAGTTAGGTGTAGAATATGATTAAGCTGGGTGACATCAAAAATAGAATGCAAAATTTGAAGGATAGGGGATAAGCAGGGTGCAAGTGGAAGAATATGCCAGATCCAAATAAAAGAAAAATCTCCATTAAACTGTGGGAATGGTCTTTTCTTAACATCTTAAACACAAGCTAATTCAATGTTATATTATAGAGTACATACAGTACATAAATACTCATATATACTCTGCCCTAGTAAGATGGCTAATGTGTAAAAAAAAAAAAATAAAGAGAAAATGCTAGGGCAGAAATAGAGAAAATATGTATCAATTAATCAATATCACATATGAAAATGTAAATAATTAGTGTGAAGGCAAGTGGAATGCTAATATTTTTTTTTTTTTAGCTAAATTCAGGATTAGAATCAAAAGTAGAAGAAATGATGATTGCTGAAGTAGAGAGAAAATCTAGCAACAGTGAAAATAAGAGGCACTAATTGTTAAGAGAAAATAATTTAGGAAAAAAGCAGTCAGTATGTAGTTAAAATAAAAAGATGGTAGTGAAGGTAGTATTAAAAATTTCACAGTGCTTGAACCAAAAGGTCATTCAGTGATTTATTTAGTAAAAAAATTGGCACGTGCATGCCTGTTAACCATGTACTAAAATCTCTCCTCCATGAAGAAACTAGTCAACTTGTGTCAGTTAAAAGAGAACCAATTGGGATAAAGTGGACATTCAAAATTTGCATGGGTTACATTCCCCAAAACTGTGCTACCAGTGATTTCCACGACTTGTGGACTGAAAAACACATGGGAAAAATAGGGCTACCTTCCTCAAGAATCTTATTTCCAAGGCCTGGGGGAAGCCACTTGTTGACTCATTTTAAGAGTACATATATCTTTCATAACCTTAGGTAGTAGGTCAGTAGACAGCAACCACCCAGGGAGGTACTACCATCCTGCCAAGTGAAT